AATACATTCATTCATATCAGTAGAGAGCATTAATTCATATACGTAGATAACATTCATTCATACCAGTAGAGAACATTTATTCATATCAGTAGAGTACATTCATTCATATCAGTAGAGAACATTCATTCATATCAGTAGAATACATTCATTCATATCAGTAGAGAACATTCATTCATATCAGTAGAGTACATTCATTCATATCAGTAGAGAACATTCATTCATATCAGTGGAATACATTTATTCATATATTTCACAGACATGTTTAATGAATGTCCTGGTTTTCACAGAATAACTTCTTGTCTGGTTTATGGTTGTGGTTTATGTGAAAAATTATTATGCAATATGAAGAATTAGTGTACACGGCCTGTGTGGGTTCTGCTCTCTCTAGTAAAGGTTATCCCAGTTCATAATACTCTTTCACAACATATAAGGGGACCTTTTGGTACTACAGATGAATATGTACTACACATCAGAGTATCCACACTATGTTATTAATTTTATTATCTTACTAGGTCTTTCTTGCCATGAAGTCTAGGGGAAAGTCTAGGGGAAAGCAAACCCCTCTTGAAGCAGGTCAACTGCCAGTCAGAAGGAGGTCAACTGCCAGTGAAAAGGAGGTCAATTGCAGGTCAGAAGGAGGTCAACTGCAGGTAAGAAGGAGATCAACTGCCAGTCAGAAGGAGGTCAGCTGCAGGTCAGAAGGAGATCAACTGCCAGTCAGAAGGAGGTCAGCTGCAGGTCAGAAGGAGATCAACTGCCAGTCAGAAGGAGGTCAGCTGCAGGTCAGAAGGAGATCAACTGCCAGTGAAAAGGAGGTCAACTTCAGGTCAGAAGGTGAGCAACTGCAGGTAAGAAGGAGATCAACTACTGGTCGGAAGGAGGTCAATTGCAGAAGGAGGTCAATTGCAGAAGGAGGTCAACTACAGGGCAGAAGGAGGTCAACTACAGGACAGAAGTAGGGCTGAACCGGCAGCAAGTATATTCTGTATGATCTGAGAAGCATCTCAAATGGATTTGAGACTTGAGAATGTAGCAGCAGCGGGATCTGAGCATGCCGCCATTGCAGTGACGGGAACAAGTCTCCCCATTGGACAATTCATCCTCTATTCCTGTTCTTGTGGTAACTCAAAATTTTGAATTTACCTTCAATTTTCATACCTGGTGACATTGGTGATCAGGATAATTAGAGCGAGTGACTCTCACTAACAGGGATAAACAACAATAAAAAGCTGGTTTTCTAACCCACCCACGAATACTGGGCTGTATGTCAGTATAGGTCACTGACCCCAGTCTGAGAGATGTGTATTGTGGAATCACATGGCAGACAGGCATTTTACGACCCCTATTATCAGGTGTTTTACTCTGCAAACTTTTACTGCTATTTGTTTATCTGATTCTTGTTGTAAAGTTAAGGAAACTGACCCCGTAGTATTTACCGTACTTTCACTATACGAAAATGCTACGTGCATAAATTACTTAGATACATGTAACACAATATATAAACATACAGGCTGCTAACACATACATGCACATACATTACACCACACCTTCTCTAGCACATGCAATGGTTCCTATAAGAGGATACACTAAAAGTCACTAAGCTTTCGTTGTTGCTGTCCAAAAAGTCCTTATTGAACAAGACTGGTCAAAGCTCCTCAGTGAAGTCTTCTAGTCAAAGCTCCTCAGTGAAGACCTCTGGTCAAAGCTCCTCAGTGAAGACCTCTGGTCAAAGCTCCTCAGTGAAGACCTCTGGTCAAAGCTCCTCAGTGAAGTCCTCTGGTCAAAATTCCTCAGTGAAGTCCTCTGGTCAAAGCTCCTCAGTGAAGTCCTCTGGTCAAAATTCCTCAGTGAAGTCCTCTGGTCAAAGCTCCTCAGCGAAGTCCTCCCAATATCTCTGTGGGGCCCTCCCACAGCTCTGCTCAGGCTATGAACAGCATAGTGATCATGTCACTGCTACTTCTACAAGGTAATATCTGGCTTTGTAAAGCAATGTTGTGCACACAAAGTTTGTGGCTTTTGAGGAATATATTTTAATAAAACGTTTTTGTTACCAGCTTTAAGGGATAACTAACATTGCCACCAACTCTTTCAGATGGAAAAGAGGGGCACTCACCTTTTAGCACAATTCGCAATGACAAAAGAGGGACTTTCCCTCTAAAGCAGGGGTGGGTGTAACTCCAGCTGTGGTGAAACTACAAATCCCATCATGCACCTGTCTCTGGGAGCCATGCCTGTGGCTGTGAGAATCTTGCAATGCCTCTTGGGTTTGTAGTTCCACAACAGCTGGAGGGCAGGTGGTTTCCTACCCCTGCTCTTAAGGATGAAGACTTCCCAAAACTCGATGTAATATGAGGAAGCGCCTAATCCATCCATTGCATTTGTATCAAATAAGGAAGGCCCTTATAGTAGAAAGCAGGTTGTACAATCGGATTGTATAATGTGTGGGCAGGCTAAGACAAGGACAGTAAAAAGTCACAGTGCTGTATCTGCTCTGCTCACTATTTCTGAGTATGAATAAAGTTTTTGATGTAAGAAGAAAAAAAAAAAGCGTCGCCCGTGCCTGCACATCCTGTAGCTGTGGCTGGTCAGTGGGAGGGGATTAGGCACGGCAGGGCGGCCAGTGATTGGCTGGAGGCGGAGGTCCCTGAGCCAGCTCTGCAGAGTGCAGACGCCTTGTTATGTGTATGGCAGTGCCAGGGGGCAGCCGATAGAAGACGCCTGTGGAGGGGGCAGGGAGGGTGAGTGGCACACTTCCTAATGTTGGCTGCTGGCTGAGCTGTGAAGGGGAGCTCCCTGCGCTGCGATTCATCTCACACATAACAGCAGCTTCACTCCCTTCTCCCCGCCTGACCGGGATCACCAAGCGGGCAGGATGAGCCAAGAAGACAGCGGCGCTCCGCAGACTCCTGGAGGGGCCCCTGCCTTGCCCAGCGAGGAGCCCGGCATGATCAGCGTGGACTTTGTGGGACTCTTCTACCAGTTCGCCAAGACTTTTGTCATTATCTTCCCTGTGTATGTGCTGGGCTACTTCGGGCTGAGCTTCAGCTGGCTGCTCATCGCCCTGGTCTTCCTGAGCTGGTGGAAGAAGAACAAGGGCAGTAAGAGTTCCAGATGGCACAGGGCGCTGCAGTTCCTGGAGAATGAGGAGAAAGTGGTGAAACAGAAGATCAGTACTTCTGAACTGCCTGCCTGGGTGAGTGCCAAGGCTTCCTGTCCACGGGCGTCCTAGCCAAACGCAGCGTATTCCGTCCGAACGCATGCATGCAGCGACTCAGGATAGCAGGCTGCGTTCACTCTGCTGTGCCTGCACCTCAGTAGGATATGCCGCATCCACTGAAGCGCAATGCAAACGCAGGTTCTGAACTGCTCTGTTACAGTCTACAGGGTTTTACTGATCTGCGTTTGGCGTGCGGTCCAAACTTTCCTTAAAGGGGAACTCCGGGGAGTAGAAAGAGGACTTTTATCTACTTTATCCCTTGCTCCAACAGCAACTGGCGCTCTCCTCTTTTCTCTGATGCTCTGGGATGTGGGCCGTCCTCATGTACAATGCTGGGCGTTTGGCCATGTGTTGTACTTGATGATGTCAGCATGCGACCACTGGCCAGGAGTTCCTTTGAGAAGAGGCTTCAGGCGCTGGTAACATAGTGTGGAAGGCCCATGCTTTCTAATTGATGACGTCAGCATGTGACCGCCAGTGGGGGTGCCTTAAAGAAAAGATTTGGAGGAGGCCGTCAGCCCATCACATAGGCTGGAGGGCTTTTGGCCCTGCTTTCTACTTGATGACGTCAGCATGTGACCGCCAGTGGGGGTGCCTTAGAGAGATGGATCCAGGGGACATCGCATAGCATGGAGGGCTTTTAGTCAAGCTTTGTACTTGATCACGTTGATGTGTGACCACCGGCTAGTAACGCGTTAGAGAAGAGACTTTGGGGGGGCCATCAGATAGGGTGAGGGCTACCAGCATAAGACCGCCAGCTGGTAGTGCCTTCGAGAGGTGGATCCAGGGGACATCACATAGCATGGAGGGCTTTTGGTCACGCTTTGTACTTGATCACGTTGATTTGTGACCACAGGCAAGTTGCACGTTAGAGAAGAGACTTTGGGGGGACATCACATAGTGTGGAGGGTTTTTGGCCATGCTTTGTACTTGAGGACATCGTCGTGAGACCACCCGCAGGGATACTTTAGAGAAGAGACTCCAGCAGCTGATCACATAGGATGGAGGGCTTTTGGCCATGCATTGCACCTGATGATGTCAGTATGTTACCACCAGTTGGGAGTGCCTTAAGACGTGGCTTCAGGAGTCACTTGCATAGCGTGGAGGGTTTTTGGCCATGCATTGTACTTGATGATATCAGTGTGCAACTGCCGGCCAGGAGGTCCTTAGAGATTAGGCTTTAGGGGCCTGGAGGGAGCCTGCCAGAGCAAGGGACTAGCTATCTAAAAGTCCCTTTTCCTGGATCCTTTGGCATAAAGATGCATATAACCCTTTCTTTTCCCAGAGCTCAGCTTTAATACCACTTCTTAGTATGTAGATTAAATAAGAGTAGATGGCCTGGCAGTTTCCGGCCCTGGAACTGGAATGAGCAGACCTGGAGTTGAAGTGTTAAATAGTCCTTATACAGCTTTATTCAGATTGTAAAACCGTACACAAAGCCAACACGTTTCGGTGGGGCCAAGACACATCCACCTTCATCAGGGCTTCTCAGGAAGAAGATTGTGTACATGGATTTGGAAATGAACGGGTTCTTAACATAGTTGGTGTGCCGGTTGGCACAGATGCTCCTCAGTAGCTGGTTGTGGCTGTCGAGGCATTCCGGAACTTCTAGTTCTACAACACCTGGGCAGCCACACGTCTCCTCCATATGGGCAGTGCCAGTGAGGGAGGAGGCATGATGTTTTTCCTGTTTAGCTATGGGCTTGGTTGTCATTTTCTTGGCTACAAAAGAGAAAGCTGAAAATAATTGCAGCAGGGTTCATGTTTGGGACTGGCACATGGGAACCCAGGGCAGGCTCTTAATGCAACCAGAGGGATGCCAGCTTTCATTGCCTCACTCTTATTGCTATAGGTAACGGCACCTCTTTCCCCCGGTTTGATCTTTATTAATAGACCCCAGCGATTGACAGCTTTCCAAACTAGGTAGGAGTTGTCGTATTGTTGTATACGTGAGCGCCCATGGTAGCCCAAAATAACCCCTGCAGGCAAGCCTGGCCTTAAATTGCAAGCTTGTTCTGCAGGTCTGTCATTTGGGAGGGTCGGGGCTTGCCTTTGGCTGATCTCCTTCCTGTTTAGTATTGCAAGGGTTTAATAGGAGCATTCGCATGTGATCATTCAGCATGTTGGTTGTGTTGGAGGACAGGGCAGATAACTGCACTGAGGGGCTTTTAGGGGGCCGTGTACCTCCAGAGGAGGCGGTGACCAGTTTTAGAGAGAGCATTAGATTCTATTGGCTTAATGATTAAAAGCCAAAGGCAAGCAGAGACATTTACTGTACGTGGCCGATCAATACTCGCATGCAGACGCTGCTTCTATTACAGTGCTGAGCTGTCTCTTCAGCCCCCTCCATTGTCTCCACTGTTGAAGAGGGATGACGGGAGTTGTGCTTCGGGATATCTCAAGTATTAGTCACTCACTTTAAACTGCTTGGATTCTGCCCAATTCTTTCCTCACACTCGTCTACGACAGGCTCTTCCTGTCAAATGTGGAGACGGGAATATATACTCGGGTATCTATAAGCCAAATAAAAGAAACTTTTGGAACACCCCGTATGAAATGCCGCTGGTCATTCGGGAATTCTGTTTGCTCCTTTTATTATTACTGCCATATGGTACAATATGCATTGCGTCATGTGGCAGCTGGCAGGTATGTGGTGTTAGACGGTGAGTCATGCAGTATGGGATCGTGAGCTGGGACACGGTTTTGGTTCCTGTTTGGGCAAAATAATATGAAATTCAGGAGCCAGGCTGGCCGAACCGGGAGCCAGGCTGTCCGAACCGGGAGCCAGGCTGTCCGAACCGGGAGCCAGGCTGTCCGAACCGGGAGCCAGGCTGTCCGATCCGGGAGCCAGGCTGTCCGAACCGGGAGCCAGGCTGTCCGAACCGGGAGCCAGGCTGTCCGATCCGGGAGCCAGGTTGTCCGATCCGGGAGCCAGCAAGATTTTTTTTGAGGGTCCAGCTTCATTGACAAGACTTCAAAAGTAAGGTGCCGGTGTCATTTTCAAGGAGCATTAGCTACCCGTAATTTGGAATTTGTCTAGCACTGCTTTAAGGTGTCCATACACCTTGCAATCATCGAATGAAAAATTTAGTGCAATGATCGTACCGTCGTACGATTTTAGTACGGCGGCCCCGACCGTCGCACAGTTCGATTAGCTGTCTTTAGCAGAAATCACCTGGATGAATTTCGTTAATCGACCGCACTGATTTTCGTTTGCGCATGTGCAGTGTTAATCATACGAATTTTGACGTACGGAAACGCCACCAACCTTGCGAAAATCGTACGATCGACCGAAGTTTTCTAGCATGCTGGAAAGACGAACGTCGCACGAATGTACAGTATTTGCGGCTGTACACTGCCCATCAACCTTACGAATATCGGACAAAACTCGATCGCAAAGGAAAATGGGCTGATATTCGTAAGGTGTATGGGTACCTTTAGACAGACATGTACGTTATATATGATCTATCGGGGTTGGACAAATCCCAGGTGCCAGGTCGCCAATGCGCCCTTAAAATGACAGCTGGCACCTAACTTTTGATGTTTTCTCTAGGTGTCAATGGAGCTGGCTCCTAAAAAAAATCTGCTGGCTCCTGGATTGGACGAGCTGGCTTCCATATGAATTTGGCCACCCCCGTGATACATGGTGACCTGGTACGGTGCTGGGGGATTTTCAGTGAAACATGTAGACTGTGTAAGGGGAGCGATGCTGCCACATTAGGTGAGCTCATTGGAGACGGCGAGGTGTTTCCGTCTGGCACCTGCCAAGAATTACATGTGAAATTCTGTAGTTTCACTATGATCTGTGCCCAAACGTATGGCCACGTAACCAGCGTACACCACACACGCACGCAGACAAGATTTCTTTTTAAAATGGGTCGTGGTGATGTCATACTTTACAGACAGCACAACCTTCCCATTACTTTTCTTGCTCTGAAGAGGTTTCAGTCTCCTTACACTATTGCCTTTCCACCCACATACACCTACCTTCTGCTATGAGATCAGACAGGAAGATAGGAAGGAAATCTAACCAAAGGCTCTTTTTGGGTACATTTCCTTGTTCTGCAACTTTGACATCTCTGATACAAAGACATCAACCAAAGCTGGTCATCCACTACTCCAGTCCTGATAACCTGGCTGACATTCTGCTGTGGCACGACTCTTCCCTTCCATTCTCCCTTCATCCTCCTTCCATTTGCCTTGTCACTGTGGTTGAAAACGACCATCTACTTTACCCCACGGATTCCAACTGTGTATGGCCAGCCTGAAGCTGAACTCCAGCCTTCTGATCACTGTTGCAAAGTTGTACAGACTTCTCTCCTGTACTGAAAGTGCTTACACAGTTATCGTGCATTAGAAGCTGCAGCATGTCAGAGCCCGGCCGATTTCCTGGCTGGAGGACGTCCATCATTATCTAGCTCAGGGGTGTGCATCTCCAGCCGTTGTGGAACTACAAGTCCCATGAGGCATTGCAAGACTGACCATTACAGGCATGACTCCCAGAGGCATGCTGGGATTTGTAGTTAAAGCACAGCTGGAGGGCCGGACCTGGCCACCCCTGATCTAGCTCTTTTCTCTCCATCCAAGCTGTCCCTGTCCTATCCCTTTAATTTATTGGATTTCAGTTCTTTCATTCATGGAGGCTCAGCATTACATATGGGTGTTACCCTAGGGCTAGGGTGGACAAAGTCAAATCAAATTCAGTAGCCAGTTTGTCCAATCCAGAAGCCGGCAGGGTTGCTTTTTTTAGGAGGCAGCTCCATTGAGAACAACTAGAGAAAACTTCAAAAATTAGTCACCAGCTGTAAGTTTTAGGGCCAGTTCACAGCAGCCACTGTGCGTTCCAGGCCGATTCTGGCCGGAACGCACTGGATCACATTGCGGCCGGCTCAATTTGTTGCGGGGCAGCAAGGGGCATAGCGGTGCATTGAAGTGAATGGCACCGCAGCCATGCCCTCCGACCGCAATTCGATTGG